GAAATATAGCAATGTATTTTTTTTATTGGAAATATTAAATTTGATCTATTAGCTTGGAGTTAAAACTAAAATAAAAGCTTCAAGAAAGATTTTTCATTTTAAAAATGCATTTTAAACACTAGGTCATGTTTCTTTCGGATGTATCTACATTTATTGAATTTAAAGTTTTTAGGTTAATTTTTTCTATATTTTTCCTTCTTTAAGATAAACCCGAAAAGTTTAGATAAATTTATTTAAGGTCTCTTTCTCGGGCAGACAATTCTTTAAAGGGTTTAGTTTCTATGTCATCTCCCAATTGCGAAATTCACCTGCTCTTTATTTTATCGCTGAAATTTTAGACAAATATTCGTCAATTTTTGACTGGATTTAACTTTTTAAACATAAAAGAATTCTTCATCATTTTTTATTCAAATAAGAATCGGCCATTTGTAGAGAAATGCTCAGTGTTTTCTTCATGGTTGCCCACTGTGCCAAACATGTTTTCAAATGGTTAGAAACTATATAGAGTTTAATCAGTGCTTCACAAGAAGGGCATCTAATGTGATTCGAACTCATTAGATCAGTGAATAGTTCTGTGAGATAGCTAGATTACTAGCCATCGCTCCACTATAAATAACTATACGGCTCTTAATCAATTGATCGCTTGGGATTTGTATGGATGGGTGGGTGCGAGTAATATACCTTATCATATATATGTCACTTTAGGGAAGCGTGTAAATCCGTAATGCCTGTGTTCAAGAGCAAATGAGAAAACTTTTCGAAAACTCATTTCTGAAAATGAAAAGCTTCGACAGATTTGCTACGTCACATTCCTCGATATGATATACATTCCTGTACTTGCAAAGTAATGATAATTGGGTGTAAGTATCCGTGTTTATCAGCTAAACTATATATATCTCGTATTTGCCTGTTTAACAATTTCGACAATTACAGTTCGTCAAAATAAATAAATTGCCGACCAGGGTAACTCTGGATGATAACGTTTCTAAGGCGAGTAGTCTTTGTAAATAGAGTGCGTGATATCAAGAGATTAATCGTAAGAAATAAAATTTGATGTTCTTTCCCCTTGTCTCTACTTTAGATTTTACCGAAATAATTTTATGTTATAAATCAACGTCTTTATGATTTCTGAAATAAATTCAATTTAAATTTGAATTTATTCAATAGTCAAAATTGCCAAAAAAAAAAAAACAAAAAAAAAAAATGGAAGTAATTTCCGCCAAACACATAAGATACGAGAACATTTAATATTGCTTAGGATTTATCTGGGTATAAATTAGAATATCTATTTTAAGATATATGGGTAGATAGTTTAGATATATATACAGGGGGCTGCAAAAGTAGGTATACAGTATTATACTAGTATCATAATAGCGGCTCACGGATTCATTTAAGACTAGAATTTATTTTATTCATTGAATAAAATTTATATTTTTTGATAAATAATAATAATAATAAATGTTTTGCAGGTAAAGAGGAGTGGGTTAATGACGGGGCCAAACAATTTGAACATTTAAAGAACTGATATGTATCTTATTCAGATAGTTGCATAATCAATAAGATTGGTGTTCAAGTTTTCTTTTTCATTACTGTATATCTACTTTTGCATCCCCCTATCTGTGTGTGTGTTTGTATTTGTGTGTGTGTTTGTGTGTATTTAGGCAATATTTTATAAAAATTTGGTTAAAAACCAACGAAAGTTTTAAAGAATTTTAAATGTTTTTTTCTGTATTTTTGATCATTTTCCTGGTTGTCGGTGTACATTTCAGTATAAATTAACCAAGCACTGAGTACCTTTCACTTTTTTGAAATATTATTTTTTTTATTTATTTTATTTTTGTTTTATTTATTTATT